CTTTTTCATTCGAATAACAAATATTCGTACATAACTATAAGCTAGGTACGTGCATCGCATGTGCCAATAACTAGTATATATGTATATATATATATATATATATATATATATATATATATATATATATATATTGTGGTGCTTGTAGTTGCTGTTAATTGCATTTGCCCCCTGCTAAGGCAATGGAATAGCAATGTGAGCCAGTTGGATGTATTAAGCGTAATTCCCGTGTATTGACGATAAAATAATATTATAAATTTGTTTTAATCCCGTCCGTCAAATAGACTTTTGATTGGGTCCAATCGTCGTTGAGTATATACTTCAATGATACTGCTACCTTGGTCGGATCCAAGCTGAACTCTGACATAATCGTGTTTACAAGGTTTATATAACTGCATCCACGGTTTACCAACGCCAACGCTGATTGAGATCCATGTAACAAACATACGTGCAAGTACACAATTTCTACAAAATTGAACTTCAAATTTTCACATTCTCGATGGTTAATTTAATACTGTGCATACAGTTTTATATAAGAATTGATGCAATAACATGAAGTCACATATGACACTAAAAAATGCATGTCACATTTTGCGACACACAGGTCACATCTCATGAACAAAATTGGTTTCATTCTCTTCTCCAATTCGCTCACACGTTCAAATATATGACATGCGTACGATACTGTTGTGTCGAGTGGTCATATTTTGGTAAAATATCGGATCATATTTTGGTCAAACATCGGAATAGGTCATACACGGGTATGATCAGTGCAAATACAACATGTCTTACAGATAATCGAAAACAAATGAATGTCACATTTTTTTTCACAGCAGTCACATTTAATCGACCACATTTGTTTTAGTGGTCACAGACATTCACAATCGATGCTACACTTGTCTAAGACTGGTTACACTCAATTAAGTCATATCTCATGCATGTTGTTCATGTCCCACTGCACAATATTATTGAATTTGAGACATATGTGTCCACGATAGATACGAACGCTGGAAATTTGCGTACAGAAGAAATTCGGATCTTATCTGATGATGCTAAATGCAAAAAAGGAAGGAGTGCAATAATCGGACCAATACCTGGATTAATTTCTGTTATGCGAAAACGTCAATTTCTTTAAGACGATCCCAAATCTGTGACATGAAAATATCAATGTCGATGACATCAATCAATTCATATTTGAATGGCGAATGCACAATTACCTGATGAATTAGGGTTCTACAGTGTCTGAATTGAAATTACTCTGGATATTTTATTTTTTATGAGGATTTTGTAGCGGTAGAGACGTTTTATTGATGGAAACTAGGCGGGATTATAGGAAAGATACGTAACAGAATACACACACACACACTTGAGATTTGAATATGTACTTTTTATACCTCAATTGTAAAATGGTGTTAAGTATACACCTTAGATATGAATTTTTCCCATTAAATATGTCACATTACAAGAATATGGGCCTGTTTGAGCCACATTATTTCAAAAAAATGCATTTTTAAACAGTGATTTGACATCATTTCAACCACACATTCTTCAATAAAATAATATTACACGCAAATTAAAAACTTTTCATTATTTTTTAACCACACATTTCTCATCAATACACTATTTAAGAATGGATTATTACCAAAATAATGTGGTTCAAACACCCCTATATAATAATATTCAAAAATAATAATACGATACGTAATATAACTTAACGTAGAGTCATGTCAATTTTTTATCAACGTCAACAATGAACATCACTAAACCTACAACTTTTTTTTTAATTAGTAGTTGATGATGTTACAAAAGTACAAAGTATTTGGTTCTTCTCAAATACATTGGAAAAAAAATCTTCAAATGGAAAAAAAATCTTCAAATGGCCTTTTCGTTCAACTTTGCTTAACAACTTCGGTTTGAGTGGGCTCAGCCGAATATTGTGCCTTCAATCAAGACAAATGGCATCAATTCAGTACCTTTTTCTTTATCATTAATTCAATTTGATGCTTTAGAAAGGTCAAATGTGTAATTCTAAATGAAAAATGCTACTTGTATCTCTACACCCCTCTCTTATGAGAGAGGNATATAGACACAACCCATTTTTTAGCCCCTGTTTGATTTTCATTCTTTGGCCATGAAAATGAAAAATATGATCGTTATTCATTATATCAAGTCATCATATTTGACTTTCTACTTTTGAGTGAGTTCCGTAATGACTATATTTTTCATTCTCATTCTTATAAAAATGGGTGTCAAACGGAGGCTTAAGATGAAAACAAAAATAACTTGGTTAAGTGCCCTCCGGGACACAGCTCAACTGGTTGATCAATTAACATTTGTCTTGCTTCCAGCGATGGGGTGGAGATTCGAATCTTGGTGGGAACCTGCGGCCAGATTTATTTGATATGGAGCAAACACTTTTGAGAATGATCTCTTGTGCGCAGAAGTGTACAGGTGGTGGGGGAACCTGTGATCCAGTTGAGACATAATTTGCGATTTATCCCCTTCAAGGTTATAGGGGCAAGGATCTTGGGGCTCCAAGATCTAGTTTAGTGTAAGTTGGAATATCTCGATATCAAAAAAAAAAAAAAAAATTGTTTTAGTTATCCTATGTCTTAGTCTACCCACAAATGCCAACAAATTATGTATACGATCTATCTTGTCTTCAACTTTACCCGTGAACAAACTCATTAGTATTGCCAAGGTCGAATGATTACTTGGGGTAATTCTTGAATAAGCGACTTTTCTTATTCAGTTCACCTTTCATTCCAACCTTGTATCATTCCAACCTTGTACAGCTTGTCTTCCCCCCAATTCCATTGTCAACTGATTACCCTAAAACCCCATAAGCTATTTACAGTAAAAGAAAAGAAAACCCCAGAAGTTGGGTTTAAGCTTGAAGTAGAAATCTTGAAGAACCCCATTTCCGGTGAGTTTCCATCTTTTAATTTTCTATTTATGGTAATTGAGCTTCTTGTACGTGCTTTCCTTTCAGTTTTGGTGGTAATTTCTGCTTCAGTTAGATGACGTAAAATTTTAAGGTAAATTTGTTTTGACTTTGTTATATTTTAGTAAATAAAAAATAAAAATACGAGGGCAAAAGTGTCCATCAAATGTTTTCCACACATCCACACGTTTCATATACAATAGATGTAGATGTAGATTTTTATTCAGCTCATATTTGAATTATCGAAATTAATTTCAAAATATTGTAAGAATAATAAAATAAATAATTTAAAATCAATGTTGAACAAACCTTAAAATATAGACACAACCCATTTTTTAGCCCCTGTTTGATTTTCATTCTTTGGCCATGAAAATGAAAAATATGATCGTTATTCATTACATCAAGTCATCATATTTGACTTTCTACTTTTGAGTGAGTTCCGTAATGACTATATTTTTCATTCTCATTCTTATAAAAATAGGTGTCAAACGGAGGTTTAAGATGAAAACAAAAATAACTTGGTTAAGTGCCCTCCGGGACACAGCTCAACTGGTTGATCAATCAACATTTGTCTTGCTTCTAGCGATGGGGTGGAGGTTCGAATCTTGGTGGGAACCTGCGGTCAGATTTATTTGATATGGAGCAAACACTTTTGAGAAGGATCTCTTGTGCGCAGAAGTGTACAGGTGGTGGGGGAACCTGTGATCCAGTTGAGACATAATTTGCGATTTACCCCCTTCAAGTATCTAGGGACAAGGATCTTGGGGGTCCAAGATCTAGTTTAGTGTAAGTTGGAATATCTGGATATCAAAAAAAAAAAAAAATTGTTTTAGTTATCCTATGTCTTAGTCTACCCACAGATGCCAACAAATTATGTATACGATCTATCTTGTCTTCAACTTTACCCGTGAACAAACTCATTAGTATTGCCAAGGTCGAATGATTACTTGGGGTAATTCTTGAATAAGCGACTTTTCTTATTCAGTTCACCTTTCATTCCAACCTTGTATCATTCCAACCTTGTACAGCTTGTCTTCCCCCCAATTCCATTGTCAACTGATTACCCTAAAACCCCATAAGCTATTTACAGTAAAAGAAAAGAAAACCCCAGAAGTTGGGTTTAAGCTTGAAGTAAGAAATCTTGAAGAACCCCATTTCCGGTGAGTTTCCATCTTTTAATTTTCTATTTATGGTAATTGAGCTTCTTGTACGTGCTTTCCTTTCAGTTTTGGTGGTAATTTCTGCTTCAGTTAGATGACGTAAAATTTTAAGGTAAATTTGTTTTGACTTTGTTATATTTTAGTTTATTTACACAGGTGTATATGTGTTATGGGTAGTCAAGAATTGTTGCGGCATGTGGGTAAGCTGAATGGAGATGCTATTACTCTATGTGGAATTGGGTTGGAGCAATTGGGTAGTGAAAACGGGTCGGAGCCAGTGGATGGTGAGGGTTTGACTGATTTAATGGTTACGGGAGACAGGTTAGGGGAGGTGAATATCCGTGAAAAGGAGAAGGCAAATTTAGCGGATAAGGTCTTGGAAAACTTGGAGGATTATTGGGAAGATATGCATCAAGTCATCATATTTGACTTTCTACTTTTGAGTGAGTTCCGTAATGACTATATTTTTCATTCTCATTCTTATAAAAATAGGTGTCAAACGGAGGTTTAAGATGAAAACAAAAATAACTTGGTTAAGTGCCCTCCGGGACACAGCTCAACTGGTTGATCAATCAACATTTGTCTTGCTTCTAGCGATGGGGTGGAGGTTCGAATCTTGGTGGGAACCTGCGGTCAGATTTATTTGATATGGAGCAAACACTTTTGAGAAGGATCTCTTGTGCGCAGAAGTGTACAGGTGGTGGGGGAACCTGTGATCCAGTTGAGACATAATTTGCGATTTACCCCCTTCAAGTATCTAGGGACAAGGATCTTGGGGGTCCAAGATCTAGTTTAGTGTAAGTTGGAATATCTGGATATCAAAAAAAAAAAAAAATTGTTTTAGTTATCCTATGTCTTAGTCTACCCACAGATGCCAACAAATTATGTATACGATCTATCTTGTCTTCAACTTTACCCGTGAACAAACTCATTAGTATTGCCAAGGTCGAATGATTACTTGGGGTAATTCTTGAATAAGCGACTTTTCTTATTCAGTTCACCTTTCATTCCAACCTTGTATCATTCCAACCTTGTACAGCTTGTCTTCCCCCCAATTCCATTGTCAACTGATTACCCTAAAACCCCATAAGCTATTTACAGTAAAAGAAAAGAAAACCCCAGAAGTTGGGTTTAAGCTTGAAGTAAGAAATCTTGAAGAACCCCATTTCCGGTGAGTTTCCATCTTTTAATTTTCTATTTATGGTAATTGAGCTTCTTGTACGTGCTTTCCTTTCAGTTTTGGTGGTAATTTCTGCTTCAGTTAGATGACGTAAAATTTTAAGGTAAATTTGTTTTGACTTTGTTATATTTTAGTTTATTTACACAGGTGTATATGTGTTATGGGTAGTCAAGAGTTGTTGCGGCATGTAAATAAGCTGAATGGAGATGCTATTACTCTATGTGGAATTGGGTTGGAGCAATTGGGTAGTGAAAACGGGTCGGAGCCAGTGGATGGTGAGGGTTTGACTGATTTAATGGTTACGGGAGACAGGTTAGGGGAGGTGAATATCCGTGAAAAGGAGAAGGCAAATTTAGCGGATAAGGTCTTGGAAAACTTGGAGGATTATTGGGAAGATATGAGTGACCGGTTAATGATTTCACGCATGGTGAGTGACTCAGTTATAAAGGGGATGGTGAATGCCGTGGAACAAGAGGCGGCTGAAAAAATTGCGGCCAAAGATTTGGAAGTGGCAAAACTGAAGGAACGATTCCTCTCCTTCAATTTAGAGCCCCATGTAATGCCAAGCAATTTAGAAAATGGGAATTGTCGGAGGTGCTTGATTTTATCAGATGCATATATGAACGGGGATAGCATCAGGGAGTTTTTTTGCGGTTTAAGAAATGAGGCAAGAGAGCAGTTCGAGAAGGTTAAGAAGGAGATCGATGGTGTAAGAGGGTGTAATAACATTAAAAGGATTGGTTCAGGTTCTCAGTTGGTATGTTTGGGTGAAATCTTACACGAGAAGCAATCGGAAAGCTGGCTGCGTGTGGATAGGACACTAGATCATTTAAAGAATACGGTGGACACCATGTGCACACGGGTGGATGATATGCTTCAGTTGTCTAAGAAATCACTTGTTGAATGGAAGCAGGAGAGACATATCCAAGGAGAAATTGAGGATATGGTGATGCAGAGTGTAATTAGGAATCTTCAAGAGGAGTTCGAAGAGAAACTAATGGAACAAAATGCTCAATTTTGTGGCAGTCCTATCATGAATTTGCTAGAAAAGTTTGATGATATTTCTAGTTTACGCAACAAGTTAGATTCAATTCTGAACTTGCTCTCTCATCCCGAAATGGAGTTAATTTCCCATGGATCTCATGATATGGATCATATTCATCGTAAGGGCTTGAGCAACCATGTTAAGCTGCCGACAACTCTTTTGGAGGGAAATGGGAAACTGGAGGCATCTAAAACTGACGCCCCTGAGAATTTTGAGCACGCGCAGTTAAAACACTTGTCGAAGGAAGAACTGGTGAATTATTTTAATGATACCATAACAAAGATGAAGAGAGACCATGAGTCTGCTTTGGTACAAAAGACTGAAGAATATTTTACTCTAAGGCGGGAACACCTTAAACAGAAGAGTTTTTTCATGTCCTATAGGAAAGACGAGGAATTTGATGTGTTGAGGAAAAAGATTCCTGAAATTATTTCAAAACTGGATGATGTCCATTTAGAAACAGAGAAATTTTCTGCATTAACCAATAATGCGGATTGTCTGGTTAACTTGAAGGATAGACTCAACATCCTTCTCTGTGAAAATCGTCAGCTCAGAGACGCACTTACTGATAAGAAAAATGAAGTAAAATGTCTAGAAGCACAGGTTTCTGATGCTGCTAGGAAAATTTTGCAGCATTCTACAGCTGAGGAAGACATGCTAAAACTTCTAGGGAATCTTAATTCAGCAACAGAAGATACGTGTATAGAAGCTTTACTTACTGAAGAAGTCTATAAATGTGTTTTGAAGGAGCTGGATGGACAGATGAGACGTGTCACTGAAGACTCCAACATGGAGTTTCTTATTACGATGGAAGTTTATGAAATACTTCTCAGTGGAGCGGCTGTCCCTGCTGAAACTACAAGCGGATATGAAATTAAAGATTCAGATATTGAATCACTGATCATGGTAGGACTATGTAGACTTTTATTTAGGGAAGCCACCAGGGACACTCAGGGAAAAATCAAGGAGTTGTATCAGGAATATTTAATTGAGAATGAAAAGAGAATCTCTCTAGAATCTAAATCTCTTGAAAAGGAAAACGAATTAAAGTTGGAGGTTCAAGAAAAGGAAATATTAAAAAAAGAGCTACTCAAGCTGGAAAAATCATTAGAAGAGAACAAGAAGTTTGCAACAGAGTTATCAACTGCATTGACAAAAGAGAATGAACTGTTTGGGCTAGCTTCTCAAGAGCTAAATAGATTAAGAGAACATGCAAGTTGGCAAGAATCATTGGTTACAGAGAGTAGCAAGGAATTAGAGTTAGTAAAGGGTCAGCTGCAAGAAGCGTTGGAACGAATTAAAGAAGATGATCTGAAAATAAATGTATTGAATCAAAAGCTTGAACAAAGCATGGAGGAGATGAAGGAAGCTAATGAGAAACAAAAATTGGCTGTTGATCTTGCCCGAGAAAGACATGAAACTCAAGCGAAGGAACTAATTAAGCAAATGGACCTGGTAACAAAAATGCTTGATGATTTTGGAATCAGAATATCAGAAAGTATCAAGAATAATAAGTCAAGGTACTGCTGAAATTATGTTTATTCAATTTCATGGTTATATTAACGTGCATTATGTTATTTTTATTTGTTAATATTTTTCTTTTTACTTCCTGGTGAACCTGGAATGTTTTTTGGTGGTTTTGTCTAGTGAAGGTCTGTTACGAATGATGTTGAAAATTATGAGACATACATTTGAACATCTATTTCCTGCTTCAAAGGCAGCCTATCTTTTGTATGTGGGCAGGCTAGTCTTAAATAGTTGGATTTGTCTTTATTATATATCTACGTACTTACATACACTTTCTTAAGATCTCCTAATAGTTCTAGCAATGAACACAACAGAATAGTGTAGAAGGATTTATGTAGTTGACTTCAAATTTATTAGGAATAAAACTTAGTTTTTTGTTGCTGTTGTTTAATGTTTATATATGGACACACACGTTCTCTACTATACAGGTTGAACATTTCACACAAAGTAGCTCTTGCCAGGCATATGTAATATGCTTTGCCATAAGACAAAATCTGTTTTTGAGATTGACTATCTTCATTGTTTGAGGATATCCTGACACACAGCACAAAAATTTTCAGGTTGGAAGATGCTCAATCTGATTTGAGATCTCTTACTGAGGTAGCTAATGAACTCAGGAGAACAGGCCAGATGTACAAACTGAGATTTGAGAGGAGATGTGCGGACCTTCAAATGGCAGAGGCTGAGGTAACTAATTTAGACTTAGCATATGCTGTATTTTGGATCTTATTTTTAAATTTTCTCAATAATATGGATATCCTGAATCTATAAGGATTGAAAAATTGACAGACTAGTTTTAAAACTTATTTTTCTGATGACAGTGAAATTATTCTTCTTTTGTGCGTGCTTGTTGAATCCAGGGTGGGGGTAATGGTGGTATAATTTTGTGTTATATCTTTGCTAGGCATCTTATACTAGATAGTGCATGTTTGGCTGAGTTGGAAAAATTTACTTAATAGTAAATAAGTAAGTTTTAGAATAAATAATATTTTTTGAAAGCCAAATTTGGCGATGAGTAAGGGCAGTTTGGCATGGCTTTTGCTTTTGATTCATGTAGAAGAGCTTTTGAAAGAAGTTTCCTTAATTTTTGTTTGGAACTAAATTTTTAAAAGAGTTTCCTATTCTGGAATTACTTTTAGAGGAAATCATATTGAACCAAGTTTCTCTAAAGCTCTTCTAATAGGCTAAAACACTTCATAAAATTAGCCAAACGAGTCTAAAAGCAGCTTTTGATTCTTAATAGCTCATTTTGATTTTTCAATAGTCATGCCAAACCAGTCCAAAGTTATGTATTTTGAAAGTATTTCTGCCTTGTCAAAATAAATAACTATTTTTACTTGTAATGAGAAAAAAGCAACATATCTAAATACATTCGAGAGCAAGAGGTTACTTAAAACTAAGCTTGCTTAGCCCTTGCTTGAAAGTGATTATTCAAAAATCACCCCCCCCCCCCCCCCCCACTCATTTTCAATTATCCATCTTTTAAAAAAAATAAAAAAATAAAAAAAAATCATTTTTCAAATATCCTCATTAACTCTCTACTTTTTAACCGCATATTCTCCATAAAAATTCCTTTTCAAATAATCACTTTAACACAAGCACTTAAGCTTAGCTAAATATGCTCTTAACTCAATCCATGCAGACAGAGACAGGATAGCTAATAACTATGAACGTCATCGGCTGTAGAGGATTGGAGAGAAATTTTCTTTTTTCTTTTTGGGTGTTAAATGATCTATTTTACCCATTTTTTGCTCTGTGATCTACTTATTTATGTAATATAATCATTGTATTGGACATAATATTGCATGTAGTTTCCCCGGCTATTTTTTTATTTTCATTCAGCTAATTTATTTTGTATTTGAATTATTTGATAACTGTATATGAGACAAATTTTGAATTAAAATATCTGAGTTTATAAAATCCCTCTCCTAATCACTGCACATTCTCCTGAAATTCAGGTCGATCTTTTGGCGGATGAGGTGGATGCTCTTTTGAGTTTACTCAACAAGATATACATTGCACTTGATCATTACTCGCCAGTTTTACAGCATTATCCTGGGGTAAGATAAATCTGAGTCATATGGAAAATGCAATTTTGTTCATATGATATTTTTATTAATGTATTTGCTTGCTTACCGTTTTATGATAATAGTTGAAATTCCTTTACTGTGTTCTCTCATTATGCTATATTCTTAAGTACAAATGCTCTAGAAGCTATTTTTGGGAGGTACCTATTCAAATGCTATGAAAAACAAGTCAAATGATCGAGAATTGTACTATTTCAAGTTTTGTAGCAGTTTTTGAGTTACATCTACTTGCTACTATAAGTAGACATCGATTCAATTTGAGTCAATTACGACCATGTTTCAAGTGCCCTCCCCACTTAAGCCTGTAGGTGGGTTTTAGCTAACTTATCATGGTATGTTTGTTATGTAGTACCAAACTGGGGTGGGTCCGTACAATGGACGAAATTGTAGTTTCATTTTCTTCTTTAATACGGTCCAATCCTGTATTATCCACCCTACCAACCCCGGCCTGCAGACTATTGTCTTGCTAATGCATGTTACGTATGGCCCACATTAATTCTCTGCATGAAAGTTGATAAGTATCTAATTAACCAGCGGTTTATTTGCCTCGTTTCAGATTATTGAGATTCTTAAGCTTGTTCGAAGAGAATTAACTGGAGAAGCCACTAAGACGAATTGATGAACTCTTTCATGAGGTAGTCTTCCTGTTATAGTAAATTTTTTGCTGCAAAGTCAGATACTTGCCTTGATGAAGAGATTTTTTTCCATGGACTAAACGAGGTTCAGTTCCATTTCTCAACCTATAATATTGTTTTAAGCTGTTTCTTTATATAATTCTCACCGTTCAAACCAGGATGGATGCAAACAAAATTTTTGGCGCCTTGCGCTACTGCTTGTGCCCATAGGCTATATGAAGATACTGGATTTGGGCAAAAGCATAATCGCTTTTCAACGCAACTGAGTACATCAACTCGTGGCGGTTGGAACCAGAAGACGGGCCCTTTGATACTGATAATGTGCTGCGATGGTCGAGCATCTGCTGAAAATGTTGGAGCTTTTTTTACTTGTACATTCCCAGATCCAACGACGGAGTAGTATTATCATTGGATTTGTGTAAAATGAGAAAATCTGTTTCCTTTCTGTGTGACAGGTAAAAATACTTGGGAGCTGCAGTAGTATTTGTTCTTTTCTGGCTTGGTAGACAATTATATTAATTATATTTAATCTCCATTGTTATCTAGGTATATCAATATGAAGCGCATGTTTGGTATCAATTTGCTTATTGTTAACCCCCAGTCCCAACCCCCCAAAAAATAAAAAAAAATAAAAAAAATGTTGTATTCGATATCAAAGAAAAAAGAAGTAATAATGTCATTGCGAGTCGATTAGTGTTAACAGAACATGCCCTTAAGGCTAAAAGCACGCATATGTTAGATTTGACAAAATTAATAAAATTGTCTTTAAAAATTTAAAAGTTGTGTTTGAAATTAAGAAGTTATTTTTTAATATGTTTGGATAATTTCTTGAGAGCAATTTGTCAAGGAAAGTTGAGATATAACTTTCTCAGTAAGTTAGTGTTTCTTTCTTTTTTTCCTTACCAATTTTTTTTTTTTTTTTTTTTTTTGGGTTGGATAAAAAAAAAATAGCAAAAAAAAATGTATACCAAATGGACCCATTTCTTCCTTTTCTCTACTCCACCGCCTCACCCCTTTTCTCCCATTCTTTTTTTTTTTTTTTTTTTTTTTCCTTTCCAATTTTTTTTTTTTTTTTTTTGTTGGGTTGGATACAAAAAATATAGCAAAAGCAAACGTATACCAAATGGACCCAAAAATGCACATTACGAGGATAACCTGCATATGATACAATTTAATTCCATCAAATAACCAAAGGAAGAATAAAAGTAGACGAATAATATGAAATAGAAAAGGTGTATTAACCAATAAAAAATATGAAGTACTTTATTTAGCTTCGAATATGTAGTAAAAAATTGTGAATCCCATAAAACATGTTATTAAAATTACAATTATTTTTTACTTAAATTTTAATTAGATTTTTTAACTGAATCAAAGAGAAACTAGAGTCTCGAATAATTGTTATTATTTTGTTTCTCAAAATTATTAATTATAACAATAAAATACACTGGCAAGAAGTCAATAAAAAAAATCAAGATATGCACTTGTTGACTATCGAACTCCGATCTAACAAAAACAATTCGTTAACCCCACCTCAGGCAAATGTGAGTTCGGTCACTGCTCCCAAATCGGACTTGCCCGCCGTTATCTCATAAAAATATCATGATTACCCCCGTCACATCACCTTATCAATCATGTACACTTACCACAAGTGATGTCACCGCCGCCCAAAACCACTAATCCAAAGCCTTGAATCCCAAGCCCCTTGCAGGTCATCATCACCTGGGGAAAACATTGGCACATGACCACCGGCCTCATCGACCAATCACAGGAGAATTTGGCTACTTGAGTTTCGAGCTCGATACTGTAGTTGATTTGACCGATTTGATGTAATTTCGACCGAAATCATGTATAAATAGTAGAGTAAAAGTCCTTTGAAGGACAAGAAAAGATACAGAAAAAATTAGAATCTAATCACCTTTTCTCCATAACATTTTGTGATCCCATGTAACAATAAATTGCCCTCTTTTCTTAAAGTTGGCTTGAAATTAACCTTGCTAAATTCGACATCAACCGTTTGGCGCTAGAAGGAGGGTCCAATTGTGAAAAATAGCCTCATTTTTCCCACAAAATCCGAGAATCATGAGTCATAGCTCAAGTTCTAGAAACCCATCTCACACCCACCCTCATGAAACGAATACCCCACAAAGTTCTCCACAACGACATTGGTAGACAACAAAAGTTCGGTCAACATACCGTACTCACGAACTTTGAGGCAGTTGGAAATGTCAGAGCGCTACCTTCAACCGTACTCAAGAAAACTACAGGGATTCTCAAGAGATCCTATTGAAGCTCGAGGTCAGATCCTTGTTGTAGAGCTGGGCGAAGCTCCTCGCCAAAGAAAGATCTTAGCAGATTTCGTGGTAGTCGATCTGCCATCCAACTATAACGCAATATTGGGACGACCCATTTTGTACGAGCTAAAAGCTGCTACATTAATTTATCATTATCGTATGAAATTTCCCACTCCTTACGGGACTATAATTATCCGAGGGGATCAAGCTGGAGCAAGAGCGTGCAATATCGACCTGCCAAAGCTACAAGTCAACATACTAAGGGGCAGGGTGAACACGCAAGCTGGGAAAGCTAGACTGAAGAGACCAATCGTTGCGGATCTCTCTGAGATAGGCATAACAGAGAAGCACCTTAAGAAAGCCACGGATGAACAATTGTCTTTTGATGAAAAAGAGACAGACTCACATCCTTATCCCGGAGTTCTGGTAATCTCGTCTCCTGTAACTGGGGTAACTATCCCAAAAGTCTTAGTGGATATAGGGAATGCTCTCAACATCATCTTCAGCAACACTCTCAAATGGATGGGTATCCCTGCCAACTTTCTGCGACCATACTCAAATATGGTCCTTGGACTAAGCGGAGCCTTGGCTTCTGCAAAAGGATTGATCAAACTCAAAGTCGAGTCAGGATCAGCACCTCGACAAGTGAAGACGAACTCCGAGTTCGTGGTATTCGACACTCCGTCACCTTATGATACCGTAATGGGACAGCCCCTAATATTCAGCCTGAGAGCAACGGTGTCCCTGTACCAATATTCAATCAAATTCCCTACACCCCATGGTGTGGGCTAGGTCAAAGAAAACAAGGAACTCGCTGAAAGATGTCAATTGAAAGCCTACACCAGCCATCAACGCACCCCTAAAGAGTACATATGGCTAATGTATGGGAATCCGAGCTCATTACACTAGACCCGTGGACCAAGATCGAAAGTGGAGAACCCGTCAAAGAGCTAGAGGGAGTTCAAGTTTGTGTCGATGACCCATTAAAAGAACTCGAAGCGAAATTGTGGCCTTCTTTAGACAAAACCTTGATGTCTTTGCCTGGAACCAAGGGGACATGAGAGGGATAAATCCCAAAATCGCCCACACAAATTACAGGTGGATCCCTCAATTCGGTCGAAGCAGCAAAAATCACGACCTCTAAACCTCGAAAGATATGAAACACTCAATAAGGAGGTGCAAAAACTATTGCATAACTGTTTCCTCCGCGAGGTAAAATACCCAAAGTGGGTCGCAAATCCGGTCCTTGTGAAAAAACACAATGAAGATTGGAGGGTATGCATAGACTTCACCATCTCAACAAAGCATGCCCTAAAGATAGTTTTCCTCTACCAAGAATAGATCAAATGGTGGATGGCACTGCGGGGCACGAACTACTCAGTTTCATGGACGCATACTCCGGATACAACCAGATATCGATGTACGGTCCAGATCAAGAACATACCTCATTTGTAACTGACCGAGGTTTTTACTGCTACGGAGTAATGTCATTTGGTCTAAAAAATGCTGGTGCCACCTATCAACGACTTGTGAATTCTATGTTTTCCCAACAGACCCGAAAAAAATGGAAGTGTATGTTGATGACATATTGGTCAAAAGCATTAAGGCCAAAGACCACTGTCGGCACTTAGCCGAGATGTTTGACGTCTTGAGAAAGCACGGAATGAAGTTAAACCTGAGGAAATGTGTCTTCGGGGTCACTCAGGAAGGTTCCTAGGTTACATTGTAAACAATTCAGGAATTGAGGCAAATTTTGAAAAAATACAAGTTGTTGTCCAAATGAAGCCTCCGACCAAACCCAGAGAGGTACAAAGTTTAACCGGAAGGATCGCCGCCCTCAGCCGGTTCGTCTCTAAGTCTACGAAGCGATGCAAACCCTTCTTTAACACGTTACAAGGACGAAAGAAGTTCGAATGGACCCAAGAATGCCAGGAAGCCTTTAATGAGTTAAAGAGACAACTAGCTCAGCCTCCGCTACTCTCAAAACCTGAGGCGGGCGAGGTCCTGAAACTATATTTATCTATTTCAGAACATGCCATTAGTGCCGTTCTGACTCGAGAAGAAAATGATGTTCAACACCCAGTCTATTATGTAAGTAAAGTGCTTCAGGAAGCCGAGCTCAGATACTCGCCCGTGGAAAAACGGGCATTCCCCTGCTGAAAGCAGTGCGAAAATTGATGCCATATTTCTTGGAACACCCCATTGAAGTTCTCACCAACTCTCCATTGAGACAAACATTGCAAAGACCCAACACTTCAGGTCGGATGGTGAAATGGGCAGTAGAGCTCGGACAATTCGACATAAAGTACACACCTCGTTCCTCCATCAAGGGCTAAGCGCTCGCCGACTTTGTCTCTGAGTTCTGCAGCGTTCCAATTGAGGAACTACCAAAGAAACCCCATGGGAACTTTATGTCGATGATTCATCCACCTGAGATCGATCTTGGGCCGGCGTGGTATTAATCAGCCCAGAGCAACGCATATTCTGCTAAACCTTGCCATTTGACTTCAAAGCTTCAAACAATGAGGTCAAGTACGAAGCTCTCATCGTCGAAGTAAGGATGGCCTCATGGTAAGGGATCTCCGACCTAATCATACACAGCGACTCCCAACTAGTTGTAAATCAGGTCAACGACGTATATCAGGTGAAAGAAGAAAGAATGGACAATTACCTACAAGTTGTAAGGAAAGAACTCGAAAGCTTCAACACCATCCAAGTTAAGCAGATTCCTCGATCTCAGAACGGCCATGCCACTTGGTCAACCCTAATATAGTACAGGCGGCGATGCTGTGGTGGTGGATCTGGTGGTTGCAAGTGGCGATAGTAGTGGTGGAGTTGGTGGTGGTATGTCACCGATTATTTGAGCTGTTACCAATCGTTGGTGTGGTGGTGTTGGTGTTGGCGGTGGTTGTGATGGTGTTGTGGTGGGGTGGATAGTGTTTGTGATTAAGTATTGTGGTAGAATGGGATCTAGATTGGCTGTGGTGTTACGGTGGTATAGTGGTTGTGGTAGTGTAGTGCAAGTGTTGATTGGGTGGTGGTGATTTGTGGTCAAGATTGGTGCTGGATCGAGATCTGTGTAGTGGGGTGTTTGGAACATGTAACCAACTATTTAGAACCTGTGATCAACTATTTAGTCGTCTGTAACCAACTATTTCGCTGATTTTTGACAAAAAATTAGGTGTTTGTAACTAAAAAATAAATTGCGATCTATAAACTGTGACTTATAGATAAAATGTGACATGTAATTTGAATGATATGTGA